GTATAAATTGGCCACCGTCCGCGATCTCATGCCTTTTCCCCGGGGTCGGCGGCAGGGGGCGGAGCCCTTACAATATACAAAACTATGTATAAAAACAGAGGTACAGGCGGTTCGGAGTCCGACTTTGGTTCTGTCAGAGCACCAAAAATTGCAGAAATTGCCTTAAGCACTGTACAGCCTGCACTCTGTCTAATTAGAATCACCAAACTTATCTGCACTCGTTCCTAGGTTGAATGCACTCGCTTCGACTGCTGGAGCTCCTTGATAGACTCTGTTGGGTTCAAGGTTGTTGCCCTTCCAAGTGACACTTGCTGGTCGCAACATGGCTCCATCACCGACGTCACTCATGGAAACCTTGGCAGCTGCCATGATCCGTGCTCTGTTGCCAATCGTGACCGGAGAAAACTTCAATCGGCGGTCCTCGAATGAGTGGCCTCTGATGTCTGCATCATAGTCTACGATCACATCATTTCCAATTGAGATAAACGGTGCGTCTATTAGGGAATAGTCCTGCACACAGAAGAACCGCTGACCAATTTTGGCACCTTGCAAACGAAAGTGATGTGCATGCCAACGAGTTCCCCCCGTACGAAAGGGCGAAGTGAAAATGAACTTTTGGAGCATGATAGATGTGAACCACCGCGTGACTGTCGTGGAGTGGTACGTGCTGCTGGTTGGGATGGCTTCGTTGTACAAGAGCCTGCCAAGAACGACAGAAAAGGCGAGCCAAGATGCAACTTTCATCAGGAGGTATATAAGCGTCACCATGAATAGCACGGCCAGAACCGAAGTGTTCGTGGTGGAAGGAAACAGGCACCTGCTCATCACAAGCGAAGATGCAACAACCATGGCCTGCAAGCCGCGCAAAATGAAGACATCAATCACATTGGTGCTGAAGTGAAACCACCACAAAGCTGCAGTGGAAGCTTCCTCTGGTGAGCCATCCTTGCTTAAGCTGCTTGGGCGTTTGAAGGTCATCGCAGGGGTTCCGAAGTAGCCCAAGTTCTTCTGGTCAAGCCTTTTGGGTAGCGATGTATTCAGACCGCAGAAGCTGCCCTCTGGCAGCCCCGCCGGCAAGCAGTTGTCGTTCCCTACAAAGCAGTTGTCACCTAGGCGATCCAAGCAGCGGACAGGCAACCCTATGGCAATAGTTTTTTGGAGGTCAGACAATGTATAACTTACACAATATCTTCCCAACACGTGAAGGGCAAGTGTTAGATTTCTTATCAACATGTCCTTCTGCGCGGCAACAAGTTGACAATATCCCAAGGAGTTTCCCCATCACCCCATGTAAGGGAAAGGTGGGATGGAAAAATGAAACATTGGCAATTGTTTTATCTCCTCCATCCTACCAACGACGGCCTCCATCCTAATAGCCATGGCCTCCGAACCAATAGAATTTTCACTGGTCTAGGTCTTGCGCAGCATGGCACGTCAAAACAATTGACTTCTTGACTTCTTTATAAACCTAGCAGTGCTTCTTGTCTCCGCGTTTTCTGCGTCAAATCGCTTTTGTGCCTCCATCTGGAAACTGCCGAACAATTTTGATCTGTCCCCATAATGGCACGACGGAATCCCCAAATTAGAGCAGCTCCATTGACAAACCCACCCAGAGGATATCCCACTTTCTGCTCAAAATCAGCAACTTCAACGTCGTGAATCGCTTCTCAATGATTACACCCTTAGAACTTGGAACTACAGCCGAAAATGACATGCCTATAAGGAATAAGAACTCATACTACCCGAATCTTTGCATTCCAAGTATTGCAACTGGTTTGTCTATCGAGGAAGGGCTCACTAACCATCTGTTCTAGGAAACCTTTTGCTGCAACCGTTGATTTCAAAAACAAGATCTGGGAGCTCCCTCCCTTTCTCAGAAGTACATCGACACGAAAAGTATACTGCCACGTTTGAAGAGTCTTTCCATACAAAAGAGTTGTCCACCGTCAGAGCGCTGATGAAAACTTAAGACATACTGTAAAGAATGATAGCAGAGAAAATGACCATTTAGAAACGTTGAAGCATGCTGATGTAGAGTGACAATGATGAACATTAAAATCTAGTGGTGAGTACACGCGGATGAGGAGAACGGGCGCCCGACCTTTGAGCTCAAAAACTCGCCAGGAAACAAAAAGGTCCAAAGAAACCGGCAGACCATGCTCAGACCACTCAGACCACTATCAGGCTTCGTCAGCTATAGAAGCGTGTCATTACAGGAATATGAAAGGGTTTCAAACGATGTCAACTGAAAATATAGCGGAAAATAGATGGTATTTTAAAGGAAACATGATACGTTCTACAACGACATGGAATAAGAATGAAAAGAACAAGAACACTTGTTTACTTTAAGCAAAACATGAAAGGACTTTGAAGGAAAAGAAAGAAAACCCTTGCTCTTGAGGAAGCAGGAAGGATGACAGGAGGATGAAAAGCCTTACAAGTACATTGAGAACAATAGAAAGCCATTTTAAGAATAAATGAAAGGATTTAAAGAAAAATGCAAAGAGTTGAAAGGAAATTGGAAGGGATTCGGTAAGCCTTCGCATCAGTATTCCAACCAACCGGTCCCCCAAGCACGCCCAAGCACGAAGCCTGCACACCGCCTGCCCACCGCATTTCGCGGTGCATCTGACACCGATCCCTGGACCGCACGTCTGACATACACGGACCCTCTGGTCGCCTTACAAGAAGTAGGAGCAAGGACGCTACTAGGGGCGCCTGGCCTTACTACTAGGAAC